ATATATATTAGTATATTATATAAAAATATATACACATATTGATGTATATGTTATATGGGATATACAATGACTTTCAAAGTGGCAAAAGATATTAAAAATAATTTTAAAATAAGACAGTAATCTCACTTTTGAGAAGTTATGACACAACTTAAAGCTAAGTTATCAAAGCTAAGTTATGACACAACTTAAAGCTATATTATCATTCTACATGAGGGGGCTTGAAAAAGTTTTGGAAAAAAATTCTACTATCTTTTAAATCCCATTTGACCAAGAACCTTAAGTCTCTTGTGGTTGTTTAAGAAAAAACCCACAAAAACCACTGCTATCGCGGGGATTTCAACTCATAGCGACCCTACAGAAAAGAATACAACTATCCCTTTGGACTTTTCTTTTTTAAAAAAATTATTATTTTTTATTAATCGTTTTATTGGGGGGAGGGGGGAGTTCTTACAAATCTTATAATATTCCATCATTTAAATGTATTAAGCACACTTGTACTTATGTTGCCATCAACATTTCCAAAACATTTTATTTCTACTTGAGCCCTTGGTATCAGCTCTTCTTTTTTCCCCTCCCTCCCATCCTTGTGAATTCTTGATCAATTTTAAAGACTTTTAAGACTTTAAATCTTTATGGATGCAGACAGCCTCATCTTTCTATTGTGGAGTGACTGGCAGTCTGGAACAACCAACCTGTGGTTAGCAGTTCAATGAATAACCCACAAGGGCATTAAAGGTTCTTTATATGGTCCATAATAGTAAAATGATAGAAGTAACTATGATTCCTAACAACAGAAGAATAGTTAATTACAATAAAGCTATTTACTGATAATATGCAGCTAAAATATTAGAAGTCCCTGGGTAGCTTGACTACTAACCAGTTGGACCCCACCCAGTGGTCCCTTGGAAGACAGACAGGTTAGCAATCTGCTTCTGGAAAGTCACAGTCTGAAGCCCCTCTGGAGCAGCTGTACTCTGTACACATGGGCTCACCATTAGTTAGAATCAACTAACTACAACAAAAAATGATGTATTAAGAATATTAGGGTCATGAAAAGATGCTTATGATGTAAAACTATATAAAGAAAAAACATTTATCAGATTGATAAAATACAATATTTGTCAGCGAAGCTGTTAGGAGTGAAAGGGTATATAATACTTAAAAGAGAATTGGCATTTTATTGCTATATATACCATTTGCTCCAGAAACCCCAAACAATCTGGCAAAAACATGGGAAAAACCCTGCTTACAAGCTATTCTTTAAAGCACTATGTAACAGTGAGACACTGAAAGTATCCTGAATGTCATCAATAAAGGATGATTGAACATATCATTGTATAGTCATATAACAGAGCTATGATTTAGCAAACAATAGAAATAAGGAAGTACTATACATTGTGCTATAGAAGTGACCCCAAGATATAGTTTAAAAAAAACAGTTAGTGGGGAGGGGGGACAAGTAGGAATATATGCTACTTTCTATGTAAAAGACAATATAAGTAGGAAGAAATATATGCATTTACTGATATTTTTAAAATAAACACTGGCAGAATAAACAGAAACTAATAAATATGACTGATTGCAAAAGAAGGGAGAAAATCCAGGGGGAAAGACAGAAATGGAATCAGACCTCTGTGCATGCACTTTGAAATAAAAAATAAAATACAGAAACAAATCTATTTGTATGTCATGCCTATCACACATAGACTTATTTCAAGTGACACAAGATTTCAAGCATATCACTTGTGGAATATTCTCTATATGACAAAACGAACCTTATAGAAATCTTAAAACTGTGTTCAATAGTAATTAATTAGTGGCAAAGTTTACATATGTACATGTGTATGTCAATATATCATAAAGTAGGTATTTCAAATTTTTTAGCATAAAAGATATATAAAATCAAAGAAATATGTCTTGCTACCCTAAATAGCAAGTAATCTTGGAAAGTTTCTAATTTTCATTCATGATTCATTTCTTTCTATAAATTCTCATGTTCCTGAATTTTTCCAGGCTCAGGTAGAAAATGTGTAAACCTGGAACATGTCATATCTAAATGAGAACTCTAAAAATCTACGGGGTGATGTCAAAAAGAGAGAGGCACCTTGCTATCGACTCCCTCTTTCTCCCCTCACCCTCCTCTACTCTTCCTGGTATCTCTACTCTCCATGTTGGCCCTGAGGGGTTTATCTATCCTGGATTCCCTGTGTTTTGGGCTCTTATCCGAAGCAGTGTGTATGCTCTGGTCTAATCCAATTTGTAAGGTGGAATTGAGGTCATGATAGTGGGGGGAAGGAAGCACCAAAGAACTAGAGGAAAGTTGTGTGATTCAACCTAGAACCCCCCTCCCATGGTGACGAATAACGGGAATGTGGGTGAGGGGCAACGAAGGTCGATGTAAGATATGGAAAAAATAATCTATAACTTATCAAGGGTTGGTGAGGGCGGACGGGTGGTGGAGGGAGTCGGGAAGAAATGGAGAGCTGATATCAGGGTCTCAAGTTTTCAGAAAGAGAGTGCTTTGAAAATGATGATGGCGACATATGTGCATATGTGCTTGACACATTGGAGGAATGTATGAATTTTGATAAGAGATGTAAGAGCCCCCAATAAAAGTATTTTTTTATAAAAATGAGGCACCAACTATAAAAGGTTCTCACTGGTCAGAGAGAAGAAGTGTCACAAATAGTAACAACAATTTTTTAAATACATACAAATCCATACTTTCCTAATGACACTAAAAATAATTCACTCTGGTAACATTTCAAGGTTGTTAAGAAACCAGGTCATTCTAAAAATTGATTACTAAAAAGGAGTGAGCATTTGTCCTGTCTTTCTTAACGAGGAAAAGGTCTCTGTTGAAGAATCATAGCTAATAATGACAGAATGAGAATGTCCCCATTGTGCAGTTCCTAATGAAATAATGGATCCAGGCAATGATCATCAATGGTTGCTAAAAGACCTTAGATCAAAGCATGATGGATAATTGTAGAACTATAAGCTTAAGTAGGTTTATAACAACCAAAGCCACTCAACCAATCTATTATCACTAGATAACAGACAAAAAGATATTAAGTATAGCTGAATGACTAGGAAATAAAGAGCAGCACATAAAAAGTATTTTTACCCCAAAATACCAAAATTTACCAACAATGTATACGTATTCTCTTTATTACAGCACAGCGTTCATAAACTCAAACCATGATTGCAACATTAAGTAGCCTGTTTCCCAATGATAATAAGAATATGAGATGATACAGCACATGGTTAATGGCATACTTACTGTTGGTAATGGCTATATTTACTTCTCTATACCATAGCTTCTTCATTTGTAAAATAAGGATAAGTATAGTGTCCAAATTCACAGGGTTACAGTATTAAATGATGCATCAATGTAAAGTGCTCAGAACACTAAAACATTTATTGGTAGCAATAATACTGATTTTCTAATAAATCCCAAGATACTGACAATTTTGATACATGAACTGCATACAGAAGTGCCAGGAGGTTCCAAAATACAATCTTTCTTGTATATAAAACATGCTGGGTTGAAATTTTTAATAGTATTTGTGCTATTCTAAAGGTACTAATAAAACAGAAACATTTACCTTCACCTAATTTGTTAGATTCAAACCCCACTCCTCCTTACTTAGATAGATACAAACTGATTTCCTTACCTTATCCAAAAGGTGTATTATCATTGGTACAAGGTTGGCATCAATTACTGCTTGAACCTGTTGTTGATTTCCTGCGGTGATGTTAGAGAGGAACCACACTGCTTCCTGTAGAACAAGACCCCTTCAATATGCCTCGTTAAAAATAAAAGTTGCATTCAAGCTAAGAAGAAAAGCATTTACTACTGTCCACATTTATTGTAGGATCAGTCCTATAATAAAATTCTTATAAACCTCAACTTCCTTTCTCCATTTAAATTTATTTTAAAGTTATGATACACTACTGAATTACAAAGATTTCTTGAATGAAGGGGTGCTTACTGCCTTGACTCAAAAGAAACTTAACTGAACACATACTAAAGGATGAATAATGAACTGATTAATTCAACTTTGTAAATGAAAAACATTTCCCACTTCCATAACGTACTTTACTCTACTGATTTAAAGTCCGAGCCAAAGCAGATAGCTATCTCAATTACCCTTGAGAATGGAAGATACAGAAAAATAAATGCTGAGTTGTTTTTCAGTATTCACAAGTGTGGGCACAAGCACCTCCTGAGGCGCTGGAATGATTGGGGGCAGGATGGAAAGGGATTCGCGGAAGACAAAAAGCAGATACCTACACTTTACCTTGGACTATGGACTGTGGTACAAAAATTACCAGGGGGGTGTTAATTTTTTTCTCAAAAAAAATCAAAGTAGGTCAAAAAAGTTTGGGAGCCTAGGTACATTATTTAATAGTCACTCATGCTACAGTATTTCCTTCAACAGCTAGAGTGAAAACAAACATTTGCCTGTGGCACTGGTTCATGTTAGTGATTTTTATGGTACCTTAGCCCCCATAATGCTGAAACACTGCCAAGAGAGTGGTTTGGTCCAAAGTGTTTTATAACTTTCATAGATAAAAATTATACTCTCTATATTTTAAAACTAGCAATCAAGTTTTACTCCAAACAATATTATTAGCTACTATAATGTAGGCTCTTTTGGATCAGATCACAGGTCCAGGTTTAATGAACCTGTTAGAGATGTTAGGGTGCTTGGCTAGGCAGGTGAGCTCTTTTTGGGTTATAATCATTGGCAATGTTGTAATCAGCACCCTTGTATTGCTACAACAGCCTCAGATGCACTCCAATCTCAGCACCACCAGTCAGTGCCCCCTTTCCATAGCCTTCAAGCACACACACAAATACACGCATACACTATTACAGAAAATATTAAATTTAGACTAATTACTTAAAACACTAATTAAAAAACTTCAATCATACAACACTCAACACCCATTTCTCTCTATTTCATCATTTCCAAGAGAGCCAAATTAATACTTGATAACTGGCTTGCTTTATATAAGGACAATCATACATAAATCCATGGTATAAACAGTGAGGTATTTTATAGTTTGTCTCAGTTTAAACAACAAGTTATATTAACTAGCAATATTATAGACAATTCTCAGATCTTAATTTTACAAATGAAAACTGTTGAGATTTTATGAGATATTTGCTAAACAGGATATGATACTTACTTTATTAATTTTCTCTTTGGGATGTGTCAGAAGTGCTGGGAAGTGTGAAAGAGCATCACAATTCAAAACTACTTGTGTCTGCTCATCAGTTCCAGTAACAATGTTGCCTACAGCTCGAAGTGCAGCAGTCTGAAATACAAAAAAATTTAATGAACTGTTATATATGAAATGCTCTTTATTTCCACAAAAAGCTAAATTGAGCAGAGTTATGAAAACTTCATTCATTCTCTCATTCTTGTCTCTCTCATGTTTTTAAGAACTTACTTTGTGGTAGGCTCTGTCTGGAAACAAAATTAAATAACAGACTTGATTTCCAGCTTTAATAGAGCGTATATTATAATGCCAATTAACAAACACAACAAACAAATCAGAAAGGTACATTTAGACAGTAATGAGCGCTGCAAAGAAAATAGGAGGGGCTGGAGAGAACAGGCTGGTGAAGGATAACATATATTCCACATTTTTTCTGAAACAGAAAAAGGTTTTCTTCTAATTTAAATATTGCACATTAAAATATTTCAAGTACAGGAGAGTGCTGATGGTTGCATAACCAGGGGACTGTAAAGAATGCCAGTAAATTATACACAGAACAATGGTTGAAATGGCAACTGCTGAGTCGTGTATTTCACATACACACAAAAATTCAGACAAGCAAACACAATTCTCTGTGGTGTTGATTTTTATTTCCCGAATAACTAATAAGGAGATTTAGTGGTGCTGTGGTTAAACAATTATCTGATAACTGAAAGGTCTATGGTTCAAACCTACCACTTACTCCATGGCAGCTCAGCTCTGTCCTTTATGGTTGCTATACATTAGAATTGACTCAACAGCAAATGGTTAATCAATAATGATATTAAGTACCTCTTTGCATGCTTACTGGCTATTTGTAGTTCTTCTTCAAAGAAATGTCTATTAAAATCTTTTCCCTTTTAACATTTAGTTGTCTTTTTATTTTCAGTTGAAAAGTTCCTTAAATACAGTATACTAGATATGTGTCCTTTCAGTTACATTTTCTAAGTATTGTCTTACATTTGATGGGTTGGCTTTTTCATTTTCTTGAATGTGCCCTTCCATGCTGTTTTTTTCTTTGAAGTTCAATTTATCTTTTTTTTTTCCCCCCTCTTATTATTTGTGCTTGTGGTGTCACTTCCAGAGGGGTTTGGGTGGTACTGGTTATTCCCCACAAGGTTAGAGGTTTGAACCCATTCCCTACCTGCTGATCCTTGGGAGGAAGCTGACGCAGTTTGCTCCTATAAAATTGTAGTTTTGGAACCCTTATGGCGTAGATCTACCTTGTCCTATTGGATTGCTATGAATCACAACCAACTCCTCTGCAATGCTTTTAGTGTCATGTCAAAGACCACCATCTAGCGGCCAGTCAAGTTTTCTTCTGAGTTTTATCTAAAGTTTTCACTCTTAAAAGTTAGGTATTTGACTCACTTTAGAGTTAATTTTAAAAAATGTGGTATAAGGTAAACATTCAACCTCATCCTTTTGCATGCGGCATCAAGTCATTTCAACACCATTTACTCAAAATACCATTCTTTCTCCCATTGAATTGTCTTGACACTTGTGCTGAAAAGCAATCATAAATGAGTATTTCCAAACACTTGATTATATGCCACTGATAATTGTCTAACTTTAGGCTGCTACCATACAGTTTTGTTTACTTGTTATCATGGTTATGTAGTAAATTATTAAATCAAATAATGAGAGTCCTCCAATTTTGTTTTTTCAAGGTTGTCTTATTACTCTGAGACTCCTACATTTCCACATGTATTTTAGGACCAGAATGTAAATTTCTGCGTAATAGGTACCCATGAATCTGATAAGAATTACACTGAATTTATAAGTCAATTTAAGGGGTGTTTTGAACTGAATTGTGTTTCCCCAAAATATGTACTGTTATCTGAGTTAAGTGCTAGGCGCAGCCATTATGCAAAGACAAGGTGAACTACTCTTCTAAAGAGTTACAGTCTTGGAAATCCACAGGACAAGTTCTACTCTGTACTATCAGGTCGCTCTGAGTTGGAAATTGACACAATGGAAATGAGTTTGAGTGAGTGAAGCAGCTGGTTGTAATCCTATTTGTGACTGAGTTGGTTGATGTTATGTTCATGGAGGCAGAATTGGAATAGGATGGCTTTTGAGTCTATTTATTTTGAGATAGAAAATAAATGAAACACAAGCTATGAAGGAGAGGTGGGGGAAGAAGGGACATGACAAACCATATGAAGATTGCTCAAGAGCAGAGAGAAAGTCTTCCTTTAGAGCTGAAATCTTAGGTTCAGACTTTTAATCTGACCCGAGAGAAAATAGGTTTCTGTTTGTTAGAGCTATCTAGTTATGTTATTTTGGCTATGCCAGCACTAATAAACGAAGGCAGGGAGCACTGTCAAGTTTTTTGATCCATGAACACAAGATGTTTATTTCATTAGATCTTTTAAAAATTGGTTTTGACAATTTTTGTTAACAGAGTAGGAGAAACAACAAAGGGAGATAAAGAAAACAAAAACTTTAAGAGACATATCAAGCAAACGCAATGCATGGGCCTTGTTTATATTTTTATTTGATTAAGCAGAAAATAATGAAGCTATCAAAAAATTCTGAACAGTGACAGGGCATTAATACCAACTATTTTTTAAAGGTGCAGTAATAGTACTATGGCTATTTTGGGAAATTGCCTTATATCTTAGAGCTGCCAATTGGATAAACGCTATCTGTGATTTTGGACAGTGGTGAGTGAGGGGAGAGAAGATGTACATGAGAGTTCTTTCTACTTCTCTAAATTCTGGCATCAAAGTTGAAGGTTGAAAAATCTGACTAGTTATCAGCACATCTTTCCTTGAGAATTGGCTAAAGAAAAGTTTTGAAAGCTCTATTTTCTCAATAAAGTCCAGTATTAAAACTGAAGATGGGGGAACTCTGAAAAAAAAAAATGTAACCCCCTCTAAAAACAAAGTACAAACCTAAAACATAAGCATCACACTTAAGAAATACAATCTTCACGATAAACATCTAAGAATATGTCAATTAGTAAAAAAAAATTCCCCCAATAGGATAAACAATATGTTCTCGCCTTCAGTTTTTTGTGGACTTAACTAAGCTTTTCCTTTTTAAACTGTTTAAAATGTAGAGGCTGGGGGTCTTAATCCTGACCATGCAACATTAAAGATTCTTAAAACAAAGCAGTTTGGGAAACGCCTTAGCAATGCTGAAAACACAGTATTTGGGGGCTGAACAGAAACATTAAAAAATATTTTTCCCCTATTTTTAGAGCTCCACCACAGTTGCTTTTGATTTCTAGCCAGGGTTGACAACCAATGACTGAGGTAATGGATTCTATGCCATTATCAGATTAGACTATCACATCACCACTTTTTGGCTCTTTCTAGATGTAGATTCTTTGGGATAGATAGAACCGGGAAGGATTAAAGGAAATAATAAAAGAATAAAAGAAAATAATTAAAGGAAGCAATTTAGGAAGCCTCTTAGCAAATTTCAGTATAAGGTGAATAACCTTTATTGCAGTGCCAGTAGAGCTAAGAATTAATTAACAAAACCTGCCAGCGCAGCGGGGAAGGAAAGTAAAACAGGACCGTTGTGGGGAGTGATGGAGAGTAGAAGAATGAAAGAGAACTGAAAATATGAAGAGTAGGAAAAATAAAATCATCAATATTTGCTTCAGACTGTCATTCATATTTTATTTATATTACTGAACTACCTCAGTCTATGTTCCAAAAAATGCCCCCTAATATAACTCACTGCTGTCCAACAGATGCCGATGCATATTGATCCTATAGAACACAGGAGAACTGCCCCTGTGGGTTTCTAAGACTGTAACTCTGTACAAGAGTAGGACGCCTTGTCTTTCTCCTGAGCAGCTGGTGGTTTTGAACTTTGGACCTCACCATTATCAGCCCACCGAGTAAGCACTACACCACCAGACAGGTTCCAGTCTGTTAGGAAGTCAGAATTCTACAATGGAGTGAACCTTTTTTGTTACCTAATTTTCTCCATCTGTACATAAATCAGTCATAGAATAATAATGCACTCTTAACAGATAGGTTGCTAGGAATATACTTTAAACCTTAGAAATTATCCATCTTTGAATAGCATGCTTAAAGCAATTAATGGTAAAGAAAAGAAAGAAAGCTATAGTTTATCAAGAAGAAACTTACCTGAACTTTAACTTCCTGGTGGCTGAGCAGAGGAACCAAATGAGGAACTATTCCAGAATCTATTACCATCTGTATCTGTTCATTGCCAGCATCAGTAAGGTAAGAGAGGGCCCACACAGTATCTACCAATATCTAATGAATAAAAGGAACATCCAAATGGCCTTTGAGTAAGTTTTCATTTCAATAATTCCTAGCCATAGATTAAGTTGAGACAGCTCTACCACCACCAACTTTATTCCATTCTTCTTTTAATCTCAATTCAGTGACTCAGGTTTCCCCCCTATTTTATTAAAGATCATCTATGCATGTCTTTATCAAGTATAAGGATCTTTTAGTGACATTTAGAATATTTGTTCATTATAATCCTGATTCCAATCAGTACCCAATCTTCAATCCTGAAGACATACACAGAATACGAGAGTGGAGGGTTAAAAAGCATTTTTCTTTTCCAGCTGTCCACGCAGAGAGAACAGTTCCAAGGACAAGGACAAGGTAAATGTATATAGCTGGATGACTAATATGAGAGGGCTTCAAAAGTTCATGGAAAATAGGGGATTAGAAAATAATGGAAGTTTTGCATAAAAATTTGAAGCCCCTCTGTATATTCAGCATACACAGTGGTGCTGAGCATCAGGGTATATAGATATACAGATATCTGGAAAGTGGTCTCTAAATGAGATCACTGGTGTCATACAGGCATTATCTAAAGCTAATATTCCAATTAACAAGATTAACCATCTCCAACCAGTTTGATTATCTTATGAAATGGAAAAAACTTCCTTAAGTACTGGATGAGTCTCCTACATCTGCCAAACAAGACACTAAAAGCAACCATTGGTCAACTTGTAAGATCTATAGTAAAACGAAACAAAATTAGCTTATATTAATAAGTTAATTACATTATATACAAGAGATTAAATAGCTTACGATTTTTAATTGTACTTTGTATTTGAAATACAGAAGACCACTGCTTTCTGATCTTTCATTCTATGTCCTGAATAGAAGTTATAGTCAAATAGAAGTAGAACAAATGGTTAGACTGCTCCACAAGTAAGATGATTATTGACAATGGCAGTGGAAAAATTGTGTGTACAATGTTAATTCCAAAGCCTTCTTGGAATATGAATTCTGTCTCAAAAAACACACCAGAAAACTTTAAAAGCTTTTAATTATGAAACCAGCAATCAGCTTAAGACACCAAGAAGTTCCTGGGAAGAGAAAACAGTATTTCGCAAATATTCCTTCAGAAATTCATCAACAGTCTAGGGATACTTTTAGTATAAAAAGAAGCTATCAAAGATAACAAAAAGAAATGATTCACATTATAATGTTTTATCAACGATATGTGGAACCAAAGTTCAATTTGCAAATGTAACTATGATTTTTTACCCTTCTGATGTATCAACTAAGCTAAAATTTGTTATCTTCAGCAAAAGATTCCAAATTACTTGTGCATGGCTGCAAATAAAACTAAGCAGGTACATTTTCTAAAGGGCCAGTGGTAAACATGTTATTAGTTCATAATTCAAATCAGACTCAATCTCATATATACATTTTGTGGCAGAGAAAGTTTATATTATATGGTTAAGCTTATTAATTATGACTACAGTATTTTGCTTATGGTTTATGGAAGCAGTCTTTTAAAAAACTTCTGTCATGGATGAATTTAAGAACTTATTACTAGAAATTTACCTAAGATTTTTATTTAATAAACATTACCTACTAGATATGTTACTAAAAAAGCCATAAAAAGGGTTGAGAAATTCTTTTAGATATATCAAAAGTGAGAAAAACGGGGTTAACATAGCTCAATTGAATCAATCAGGTGAAGATAACAAAATACATCTATGGATAAAGTCAACCAAGATGTCTAATTAACTTAGACTTTTAAACTTGGAGATAAATCTTTCTTAGAAATTTGCTTGAAGCAAATAATTGAAATTTTAATTTAATCCAAGAACTCTTGTTATGCCCATTGCTGTTGAGCTATTCGCCAAAATCATAGGGACTCTAAAACAGAGAAGAACTGTTCTGGAGGGCTTTTCCAAAACTAATCTTTATGAAAGTAGACTGCTACAGCTTTCTCCCACAAAGCAGCCTGACGGGTCAAAACATCAACTTTTCAGTGGGCCGCTGAGCACTTCACCAGCACACACATACACATCTAATCTTGTTAATGTTTCATTAGTCTAATTTGTTCCATGTGCTACAGCAGTAATGAAATCGCAGCTCATCAACACTGATCACTATGTCAAACAGTTTTTCAAATTGTTGTTATTTATCAGTGTTGCCCAAAGTGGCAATAACTCCCTCTGTGGGGCAATGGATTGATCAGGTGTGGGCGTGATGGGGTGGTGGTGGGGCGGAAGATGGGCCTGCAAGAGCACATATTTGACATGTTAGTCTAGATTATGAGCAATGGTACAAATGTTTCTAATTACTGGGGGCAGGGTGGTGCTGAGTGTTCTCTTTTTTCCAAAAAGGGGGTGATAGGCAAACTACTGAGTATAGGAATCTATGCTATATGTTATATCTGGGTAATGTCCACTAAGTACATCTCTAGCTTCTTTAACATGGGAGTCAGCGATTTCCATATCACTCAGATTCCCTGAATTGCTTATCTCTTTGCCATTTGTGTACAAAGAATGAGCAGGATATTTAGTATGCTAAAATTTCGCGCCCCCTGCATATCTGCTTCTCTGTTTGGGAAGTTAACAGTTATCTCCGTACTACATGAAGTCAATACCAAAACTATATACATGAAAACAAATCATCTGAAAATCCTGTAGGTATAGTTCTATTCTGTCCTTTAGTGTCACTATGAATTGGAATCAACTTCATAGCAATAGGTTTGGTTTTTTAATGTTTTAAATATAGTAAAAACCAAAGCGCCCAACAATTTTATAATTCTGGAAGTGGAAAAACTTGATACTGAGTACACAGATATAAGTTTCAGAATAATACTTTTTTCCTATGCCACAGGAGCAGCACAGCCTTAAAAATATATATAAATACTTAAAAATACATATAAAGCTTCAATATACAATAGGAGGCTTTTACTCACATTTACATCTGTATGATGAATTAAAACACAAAGAGCTGGAAGAATCTGAGGAGGAAAAAAAATTCTTAAATATACACATTGTATTCTCATTACACTTACACACACCCACACACCCACCCACCCACCAGAACAGAACTTGTTTACCTCCTGAATGGTTTCCATTGGGGGGGGTGGGTCTTTGTGGCGACATAAGTTGACCATAACCCAAGTAACATTTCTTAAGAATGTTATAGGAATAGATGGACTTATGAAGGAAAGTAAAGGTTTCACAACTCCAAGGCTTATGACATAATCTCTACACTGGGGCCCATCACCTGTAAGGAGGAGACTGTGTTAGTAAAATACACTTTAATTACATAATCCTGAAAACAGTGTACAAGATGATACTTTTTTTTTTACAGTATAACCAGATAAGGCAATTTAATATTATTAAAAACAAAACAGGGCAATAATAAAGTTAACATTTTGAAATTAAGAAGTTAAGGTTTTCAAATCAAGAAAAGCAATAAGGTGTGCTAAGGTATTTTTTCCCACACATTACTCTTACCTTCAGGTTCATAAATTACTCACTTACAAACTTAGGAAGCTTAGGGTCCTTTAACATACCATATATACTTGAGTATAGCTGAACCGATTATCAGCCGAGGCATCTAATTTTACTACAAAAACTGCATTAAAATGTGCTGGAAAATTCGGCTTATCCATGAGTATATATAGTACCTTGTTAGCAGAAAACTTTTGCTTTTATCATCTCTCAAATTTTCTTATAGTGAAAATGTCAAAATACGATTATAAAATACTATTCTAATATTTGTAGAATTTATTGACCATCCAATTTCAGATCATCAAAGAGTATCAACAATCCAAGACTGTTGCTAGTTGTCATTAAATCAATTCCAACTCATGGCGACCAATGTGTATTGTGTAAAACTGCTTCAGAGTTTTCAGAGCAGTTAAATTTTTTTTTTTTTAGCTGTTAAATTTTTAGGCAGCAGACTGCCAGGCCTGCCTCTTGGTGTGTTGGAACTACCAACCTTTTAATTAATACAAGAGCACGAATATAAGAGCACCGAGACCAATTCAGACCCAGTGAAGCAGAAAACTCTTGAGGGTCCAGGATTTCTTTAACAAGACTGCTAGACTAATTCTAGTTTCAGAACCACTGCACTACAGTATCATCAGATTTAATTTCTCTATCTAGAACATCACTGCATAATAATTTGGAGGAAAAAAAACCAAACTGTTTTTGCATTGAAGTATTTCAATCAATTTGAGGCTGTCATTGGGAATAAAAAAACAAACACAAAGATGAACTGCAGCTTTGTTATAAACCTAAAATTTGGTATAGAAACATATGGGAATAGGACACTATTAGGTTGATTCAGGGGACTCTAAGACCCCTGGTGGTGCTATCTGGTAAATGTTGAACAATTAACAAGGTCACTGGTTTAAATCCACTAACCACTCATCAGGAGAAAGAGGAGGCTACCTGCTCTCATAAAGATGTACGGTCTGGGACATCTTGTATTGTCACTGTGAGTGAGAAGTGGTGTGATAGCAGAGGAGTTGGATTGATTTTTGTTATAGAATACAAACGGATAGATTTGATACAATCAGAGAAG